CAATTTCAGTAATTTTTTCATCTAAAAGTAGCTTATGTAATTGGCTTTGCAGTCACTATTATTTGTGGTGCTAGATATTTTTTTAGATATGAAATATATTTTTGGGGGTTTGGGTTCCGCTTTTGTGACTCATCCTTTACTTCTTTGAAATTGAGACACTTCATGAAAAGGAAACAAAAATTGCAAGCATAATAAACAATTGATTCTGCGAAGAGGAAATTGCATTACCTGTGCACGTACTATAACTCGTTTCTGCTGTAGAAATTTCTTATCAGTCACTCACACAAACAAGACATTTATTTAAAGAAAAAAATATCAGTTTCTCTGTTGGGTGTCCAGCCAATTTTATTGCCTGGCTTAATCTAATCAGCATAAAATACAACATACATAAAAACAAAAGTACAATGTTCTTACTTTCATATAACATTTGTTAATACAGGAAGCTAGACCTTAACTCTTTTTTGCACCAGCCAGCCAGGCTACTGAAACTACTAAAACAGCCCGCGGGCAGTTTCCACTGGCCCACATTTTTTTGCTTTTATAGAGTCTCATAATAACCAACAATGTGAATACATGCAAAACGTGTACATCCTCAGGCAATCTTGTCATTGTTTTTAATAAACAGATCTAATAATTTAACCCTAAACAGTTAATAAAGTTAGACACAAATTGATACAGGTTTGCTTTCTGAATTTAATGATTTATTTCTTCCTGTCCTTTCATCTTTGCCGTAGCCCAATAATTGTTTGACTTGCCAGCCGGGCTACTTAAGGAATAATTTGACTAGCCCGTCGCTGTTTTGACTTAGCATTTGGCTAGCGGGCTACCGCTAAAGTCGAACCCTGATAAAAGAAATGTATAGATTTCATTTTTGCCCTTTTTAGAAACTTGAAAAAAACATGAAAAAAAAGTAAAACTGCTGCAAACTGCTTACTGACTGGATGGACCTGAAATATATAAATCTTAAAATTAATGTGGCCTGACGTTGCGAACTTAGCAAGTTCTTCTTCAGAGGCTAAAACAGAAAAGAAACTTGGGCTTTTATCAAGTCCAGAAAATCTACACTGACCCAGTTCAGTACTTCACTACATCCCTGGCCTGACAATGACCGTACAGTCAAAGATAACAATTCTGACGTGTCCAGACACAATTTCCTGCGAGTGACCACTTGACCGTCACCAGCGACAAAGTCATTTTCATGGTCATAGTAGATTCGCAGTGACCTCCTGTAACAGTCGTTCACTATCCCATTTCAAATTGTTCAATGTATGTACCTTTATAATTGTCAGGTAATTTCTTGTACAATTGACTGATTTGACTCCTAAAATAAATGTAGGTGTGCAGTGTGACTAAATGCAGAAATGTATTTTAATTTCCACATACACCAATAAAATGTGGTGCTTGTATACAGTGGAACGCTGCTATAACGAACATCGCTGGATCCACAGAAACTGTTCGTAATAGCGATCGTTCGGTATAGCGATTTTAAGCTGCTGGTGCTCCGGTACTCACTTTTCAATAAATAACGCCCTTCAGAACTTCACCCTGCATGCCCTGGTAGTTACTGAAAGACGACTTTGAACATGTGCCGCCTTTGGAATTATTTAGATACACAGTTTTTGAGCTTACTACCTACAGCAATGGGTGGCTTTCCCCTTCTATTCCTTGGGGAAATAATAGCCACTTGTCACTCTTCTGTTGACATTTTTCAACAACAATGTGCGGTACGTTTTGTACACAAAAATCGGGAGCCAAAGACGATGTTCGATGTAGCCGAATTATTTTTCGGTATAGTGGTGTTCAGTTTGGCGACATTCCACTGTAGCGCTTTATACCAAAGGTCTCAAAGCACTTCACAATTATTACCCCTGATCATCAGGCCATGAACCCAGTTTTTGCAGCAGCTGGAGATCAGCGCATTATGGTCTCTACCTTCACAGGTACCCATTTATACTCCTGTGTGGAGAGAGGCAATTGTAGTAAAGTGTCTTGCCCAAGAACACAAGCACCATGTTCCTGTCAGGGTTTGATCCCACGTACCACGGCGTGTGAGTCTACAGACATACCAGTACATCGTATACTGTGTACTGTATCACATGGTTCACAGAGAGAAATCCTTCATTTATTGTGGTTACCTTGAAAAACAAAGTTGCAAGTTTTCACTTCTGGAAAATTCTGAAAAGTGGGATATGGACATGCTTTTAATATAGCAAATACACATGTAGTGATCTCACTATACATACATACTGGTGTATGGCTACTTTTCCCCCCCCCCCCCCCCCCCCCCCCCCGAATCCATGTGCTAAATGGAACATTTAGAATTCCCCACATCCAAATATTGGTGCGCAATGCTTGAAAATTATGTATAATATAACACTGAAAACTTGATTTGTGCTATTATTACTGTGTTGCATACTGCACTAAAAAACACACTGCAAAAACTTCCTCAAACACAGGAAAGCTCCCCACCCTGAAACGTGCCTAAATCCGCCATTTTGCATTTCCTCCAAACCTGTATGATATCCCATGTATTATGAGAAACTTCAGTATTTTATCAAAAGTGTTTACGTAGATCTATAGAGGAAGTTGTGTGCCAGGTCCTTCACACTCCAACATTTCCTGAACTTAGATTATTAACCTTAAAAAATACCGGCCTCAAACTCTATAAAAAAAGACTACGTCAGGGTCACACAGCGACATTGTCTGGCATTGCCGTGTCACTGAATCCTTGCAGAGAATTTCTATATAAAGGGGCAAGTTTGGTGCGTTTCAATTCTTTTGATTGTGATGTCAACATTCGCACCAGGAATGTGAACCATGCAGGAACAATGTCGGGCTTCAGAATTTAGAGCAACAATTCAGAAAAGTTTTATGACAAGGCTGGCCTACTTTTGAAAGGACTGAGAATTCAATCCTTGGTGTCGCTGCGGACTTATCCACCTGTGAGAAAGGAGTTACATGTATGTAAGTGGTACCTGACTTGGCTGGTTCTATGCAGGGTTCGACCTTAGCGGTAGCCCGCTAGCCAAATGCGAATAAAAACAACGGCGGGCTAAAAACCATTCTCTAAGTAGCCTGCCTGGCGAGTCAAAATTATTGAGATAAGGCATGAAACTTTTAGGTTTTTTAAAGCCGGTCTTAGAAAAATAATAATCTGACACTGACGTGCATTCAGCTTGTTACATGCCATTGCGCACCGAATGTTGCACCGAAATCGCGAGCGTATATATTAAAGGAAGAACATGGACTGGCACTGTGTTTTGGTACCGAAAATACAGGACACAGACGCCGTATTTTTATGAATGATCATGTCGCCATAGCGCTTTCTAGTTACTCTGGCAATAAGCCAAGCATGAACGCATCGGGGGCACTCGTTAAAAAACCGCAGCCTACTATACATATATAATCTGTTCAAATTTTACATCGTAGAAATGTCGCGAAAACATTCACATAGCCTTATCTCTCTTTCTCTGCATTTTCTCCTTATTTGTACATGTATATATTTCGAGGTCATAACGCCGGTACTTGTGCTGATAACGTGTGGCCGCGCCAGTTATCATGGCAGTCCATGCCCACTGACACCCCTCGGTACTGTCCCCCATGGACAGTGTTGGGTAGTATCTGTTCATGACGGTCGACCATTCATGACTGCCACATTTTCTCCTCATATTTTTATCTCTTTGAGGGTTCAGTTTTGAAAGCATTTGGGTCGCAAATGAAAAAGGGACCACAAACGAAAACGGGATGTGAATACATTAATCACCGTAAAAAAATACATATATTAATAATGGAAAATAATAATTATTTTTTTATTTTATGGTTGATTTAAATTTATTAATAAATGATCTATTTAATTTATTAATAACGTTAATCAATTTGTGTCTGTTTTAATTCACTTTTATTAGTATATGTTTGTTGAAAACACTGACAAGATTGCCTTAGGATACACTTATATGCACATTGTTGTTTATGATATTCTGGTGCTTTCTATTGTGGACTAGTGAAAAGGCCCACAGGCTAGATAAGAGTCTGGTTCACTAGTCCGGCTGGCTAGTCACAAAAAAGTTAAAGGCAAACCCTTGTGTACAAATCCGAGTCCAGATTATTCAAATCGGTAATTGAATTCGACGTACACGCATTTTGGGCCGAGGATGCAAGAAATGTTCCCGCATGTGCGATACCAGCACACTACACGTAACCCGGGATGTCGACAGTATGCAGCACATACAGCGGTCGTACTCAGCAGCATACATGTAGGCGAACTAAACCTGGCCAATTACGGACTTGATTTCACTTAGCCAGCCAATGCCAGCAAGTGATTTGAAATTCACTATATACTGTATACATGCACATGTACATTGTAAAGTAAATTATTCCATAAGTAATTGTGTGTGTCATATTCATAAGTGGATAGCTTTTAAATTTCTAGAATAATCGCAACTCAAAGATAACGCAAGGACTGTAAGCGCATGTACATGTATGCAGCTTCGTTAATAATATAATGGAACTGTAATTTAATCTAACTCAGTGGTTAATACACGTAAAAGTGATTGAATGTGTGGACTTTAACCCGGCAACGCTCAGGTTTTCCTGTCCCTAGTTGTCATGGTAACGCCTATCTGTATGCAGATGTTACACGGTAGGGCTCCGTAATATAGAGGGCATTTATCAAAGCGCCACACCCTCGGCTGAAACGGAAGAAGATTTCACCGAATCAGTCCGTTATTTCGGTTCTGTGAATTCTGAATTGTGTACCATTTCAGTACCTGACGTATTTTATAAGTTAAGGAGAAACGTGTACAATGTAAGTATTTTTGAAGTGTGCGTACATTGTAATTTGCACTTCAAATTGTTCAGAAATTATTTTGACAATAACTTTGTAAATCATTAATTTTTCCCTGTGTCGTTGTTTTCATACATTGTACATATTACAGTTACATATAATTTGAAAGATTTTATTCAGATTTCATTTTTTTTAACCATTTCTGTTCTTGTTACAGACACTTCCAGGATAGAACGTAGAGGCAGACACGTGTGTGGTCATACCCCACGCCAGAACCCACACCACACCCCTAAGCACACCTGTCCACCATGTCAGGCCAGCTGTGTTTCCTGACCCGTAACGGGCCTTTCAGCGAGAGCCTAGACGACGAGGTCACCTTCTCGACCCAAACTGACCGCGAGGACAGCGAGGTTGACAATCAACCAGACGCGGACAATCTTCCCTTTGACTCGGATCCGCTGATCCAGAGTTTCCCCGCCTCCCCGCCAGTAAGTAACTTTCAGCGACTCACCAACGGCGCTCCGAAGAACTTCAGTTTTCAGAGCAGTCCTGGAGAAAGTAGCACTTCGTCCGAGGGAAGTTTTAGCAGTCAGGAATCTCTGATTGAAATTGTCCCGTTGGGTCAGCCGTGGCGTGCCCTGGGCCGCTGTTTCAACAGTACTATCGTCAGCATTGTGGTGCTGTTCCTCGTCACTGCAGTGTCGCTATCTCTAGCCGGGATCAGTGTGTTTGTCGTAGGGCCCACGCCGTACTTCGACAAGTCCCTGAATGCCTTCCAGATCCCCAACCACATCTCCACCAAGCGGCAGCTGGCCTTCGACGCAGCCAGAACCGACGATTTTCACAACTTACGCAAACGGAGCCTCGACTTTCAAAACCTTGGCCTGGACATCAGCTTTCTCAAGCCACACAAAACCGATTCTGAAATTGACATACTTTCCAGCAGTATTCAAAACTCGTTGCTGGACAACGCAATACCAGATGATGTATTTAGACCTGGAAAACTGAACTTCAACCTTATCACAAAGAGGCAGCATCAGGAAACCGGCGAGTTCGGAATGACTCACAACCGAAACCGGAGATCAAGCAGCCGAGTTCGAAGGAAGAAGTACAAGATGGTGATCGTCTACAAGGCGCTGGGGGAAGACAAGAATATCTTCACGGAGGAACGACTGCGGACCATACACAAGGTTGAGATGGACATCATGAGACATCCAAACTTTACGGATTTCTGCTCCCGCGACAGCCGCTCCCTCAGTGACCCAGCCTTGAGGCCTTTCAAATACTGCTCACCAATGATCTCACTCATGGGCTATTTCTACCCATCTGTTGACAATGAGAAGGTAAAAAGAAATCCTTAAAAGTTATGTTTAAAGGTAATAAACATCATTTGCAAACATCAACAAACAAAACTACGAAATGATTATGAAATACCTTACTGGACTGCAAGTGATAGTCTCAAGCATCCTGTGAAATCATGGCCCCTGGTGTGCTGTCATTTTCAAGAAAAGTTGAATTTTGGTGTCGATTTCCAACTATGGTCGGCCGACCATCATTGGGAAAAAAAACCTGACTTTCTTCTTCAAATACTGCCTCCCAATATACCAAATTTAGTTAGTCCACATTTTGTTTGCAATCGATTACACATACATGAACCAGGTGTAAGCCAGCTAGACCGGTTCCCCGACCAGACGATTTCCCGACGTCTGTAAATTGCTCTGTTTCGTTTGAAGAAGGGTCAGAGAACCAGACTACAAGAACAGCATGTTTTTGTTCTTGGTTTTTCCAGCAGCTATGAACACAAAAATTTAAACAGGTAATACATTTGCTAAACAATACTAACATACTAATTACATAGGTGTGTTTTCAATTGCAAACAAAATGTGGACTAACTAAATATGGTAAATTGGGGGCAGTGTTTGAAAAAACGCTGGTCAGCTGACCAGCATTGGAAATTGATACAAAAATAGTATTTTTCTTGAAAATGTCAGCACACAAGGTGCCATGATTTTACAGGACTGTCATTCACTAACAGTCCAGTAAGGTATTTCATAATAATTTAGTAGTTTTGTTTTTTGATGTTTGCAAATATTGCATATTCCCTTTAAAGCAACAACAGAACTGATTGTGTGCCATTTTCTAATTCTCTGTCTTTCTCTTTTGTTTGAATGAAGATCGTTTACGACGGCATGGGAAATAATCTGGCCGACATCAATGGCACCCTGGCCCTAGCCCGAGCCGCGCTAAAGAGCAAATTCTATTGGTTCGTGGATACTCAGATGAGCTCCAACAGTGTCACCAGTAAATTATTGCGAAGCGAGGTAAGATGAGGTAGGCCTAGTAGAGCTGGTCCTACAGTGCACACAATTCTATTCCATTGATTCCGAATGGCTATGCACTGGAAGTCTTTTCGGGGGGAGGGGGTTCTAATGGTTACGGTGTACGACTCATGTGCTGTGGTACGTGGGTTCGAATCCTGACGGGGAACACTGTCCTTGTGCTCTTAAGCAAGGCACTTTACCATTATTGCTTCGCCTTTCGGATGGGACGTAAAGCCGTAGGTCCCCTGTGTTGTGTAGTCTACTTCACTCTACTTACCTGTAGAGCAACACTACTTATGCATATTCCCCCTACCGGCAGGTATTTTCGCTAAGAGTTATATACAATAGCGCCCTCCGGCGCCCTACCCATAACACCCCGCGGCATGCGTGCCTCGTGAGCGTCCTCTTTTCTCTTAGCGGCAGGTCGGGTAGGACGTGCGTGAAATAGCTCGCTGTTTGCCTCGTCATTTACTACCCTTTTTTGCGTTTAAGAGAAGTATTTAATAAAAGAGTTAGTAATCATTAGTTTGTAGAGTTTCATCATCTTCTTGGTTTCGTTTATTTCATAAATATGAAGCGTTTGGGGAGGGCCGATCTGTCACTAACCGGAGGGAATAGTTCTCCCACGGGACGGACCGAGTTCTCGGGGGACTCTGCCGTTAACGCTCCGTCGTTACCGCGGCAGCAGTCTCTCGTCCGGCACCCTCAGCCACAGTCGGCTGGGGGAGTTGGCAGTTCCGCCGATCAGTTAAGGGGACCTCGGTCACCTTCTCCGGTCAACTCGGGCGGAACACCCAAACTAAAGGCACACTCCGGCAAGGTTCCCCTAAAACATATCTCCTGTGCCGGAGCAAAGCCTAAGAAGGGCCGTCAGGGCAAGCGTGGCTCGGCAACGAGCGCCGCTTTGGCACCTAGCCCTCCCCCGATCACGGGGCAGCCCGAGGGGACTAGCCGTCACACTTCGGTGGGCTCTAGTCACCCGTGCCCTCCCGACACAGTGCCGAACACCACTGGTTGTCGGGATGGGCTATTGCACGGGCTACCGGTCCGTCCAGCGCTCGCTCAGCCCACGGGGCCTGAGGCGCTGTCGGCCGGGTGCATTATGAGCGATACGGAGCCGGTCGCCCCGGGGGATCCCGGGCCGACGGCCCCCGTGCTAGCTCACTCAGAGGGACTACTCTCGTCATCGGATTTTTTCCGTTGTTCGGGGGTCCCGGTGCCCCAGGTGTCTTCCGATTTTCCTCGGACACACCTCGGGGCCGTTCTTCTAAAAAGAAGAATAAGAAGAAAAAGGCTGCACGTCGATTGCACCGTTCTTCTTCGGGGTCTGACGACTCCTGTGACCGGTCCCGCCGGGGCAAACGCTCCCGGGGGGAGGACGCGGTTTCTAGAGGAGATTTCCTGCTGGCTTTTCAGTCGATTTCCGATACGCTATCGGCTATGTCGGCAGGCCGCCGGGCGGGCCCTATTGGGGGCCCCCCTGCAGCAGTGGACTACGGCCCACAACCATCGGTCGTTGGGCCCGCATCACAGTCTTCAGTCACCGGTCACGCTTGGGTGACCCGTGAACAAAGGGACTTACTGCACAGATAGCCGTGCTCCTGGAGTCTTTATCTGCAGTGAATGCTTCATAGTCGTCATTCATTGGTCACGATTGCGTGGCCCAAGCACAACGAGGTACATGTACAAAAATGAAGAAAAAAAAACAAAAAAAAACCCATGTTCATACATGTTCATGTATACCACACATGGTTGCGCGCTATACCGGAAGCCCGGCCTACGGCGAACGGGACTTCACATTCGCCGGCCGTGGAACACGGTCGCGTGGTCCAGAGACAACGGGACCTACCGCACACAGTTAGCCGTGCGCCAGGATTCCCGCTTGTGTTTAGTCTTCACCATCTGCATAATATTATGTATATTATCTCCGAGGGTGTTGCCCAGCCACCACCGCGTGGTTCTGTACAACTAGCCCCTCCAGACGGCTCTCAGTCATCGGGGTCATTTTGGCCTTCGCATTCGGCTGATTCATCCGATAATGACGGAGAATCAGACCGGTTACAATGGCTGTCCATCGAGGAAACGATACTCCGTTTGCTGCAGAGGGACATTACACGGGTACTTAAATTACCCTCCGCCGATGAGCCCCCTCCGCCCGATCACAAAAATTTTCAAATCAAGCGCAGGACGGGCTCCAAATCTAACAATGACAAGGTGTTCCCCATACCTCCGTTGGATCAAATGTGAAACACATCGACAACGGACAAAGTGGTGTCCATTTCTCAGGCGGGAACGGCTTTATTATTTTTCTAATCCGGCCGAGTTTATTGCACCGATCCCACCGCGGCATACGATACCGGGATGAGGACTCGGTTTTTCGGCCCACTCATTACAAGCCTTGCAATTGTTCTCGGCTTTATTATCGGTCATACATGTACATGTATACGTTTTATACACGTACATGTACATGTATTGCCAGGCGGGCACGTTAATGAAACGTCCGTCTTCGTTCAGTTGCGAGCCGTGAACTCTGTAGCCCTCTACATTAATCACGGTTGGGTGACTCAAGGACAATGGGACACGCCGCACGGTGCTTAGCCGTGCGGCGGTGTTTCTTGCTGTACTGAGATCGCTACATTTTTTATGTACATCGTACATTGTCTCCGAGGGAGTTGTTCAACAGCTGACTGTGGCCGTGTGCAACTCGTCCCTTCAGATGTGTTTTACGGTTCTCGTTTACGGGGTCTATTCAACTCTTGCAGGCATGTTGTGGACCACATTCGAAAGATTGTGCCTGTATTCAAACTGCTTGCTGCTCTTCAAGCAATAATGTGATCATTACCGTTTTCCGTTAGCGAAATTCGGTATTTTTGTTGTTGTTGTCACATCTTCCCTCTTCAATGCAGCTAAGTACAAGCTGCCAGCAGTAGAGGGACCCCATTATTCAAGCGGCTCTTCGTAAATAATACTCGCAGAAGCTTGAATACACTTTGCAGTGGAATAATAAAGTGGGTTCGGCGATACGCGTTCAGCCTCCCTCTTTACCCTCATGAAGTACATTAGGTTTAATGTTTTAATCTTGACTCGACAGTCTTAGCGGACGTGTTGACCGCTATTTTCTTTATCAATTTCACAGTCTGCACTCAGTACTCTATAATTTTACACGAGTGCAGACCCTAACAATCTTGGCCCGCCGGGATAACATGATTGATGAACTGTTTCTCCCGTCAAAGTGCGCCCGCCAAAGATTCGAGTCCCACCTTTTAAATTTTTAACGGACAAAGATCTTTCTTTTGCGGTGCATATCGATGTTTACATCCATATTGGTCGATGTCGACTACATGTGGGCCAGCGCAGGTGAAGAACAAACAGTTGTTTGTTTTCTCAACTGCATACCTCTTGAAGTTGGCCCAGATGATTTTGTGTGGCCGTGCTAGCAACATTTGCTGTACGCCATGCCACGTAGGATAATGTAACAACGATTTCGATTCGGCTTCAGTTGTTTTGATGATTTCCATAAGTGACCTACCTGACTCATGACGACCTCCACCCATCTGTCACGTAGGAGCTCGTCAGAGAGACTTTGAGGCTGACATCAATAACATCGGGCCAGCACAGTGTTGCGCCCGTCTTGTATTTCCCTTGGAAAGATGTTGATGAGATTTAGTCGACTGTCTAACACATCAGCATGGGGAATGAGCCCTGGCCTGAAGGGTACACAACTGCAACTCATTTTCAGGCCAGAGCACTGAGAATTTCACGGTTTTCAAACCAAGATTCTCGCTGCAACTTCATGGTGGCTCCATCCAGCCAGTTTTTCCGCCTCACTCCTGGCCTATGCTCAGATAGTAAAGGCGATATGACTGCGCCGTGGAAACAAAGATTGGTGGCATTCACCTATTTGCTTGTATCGGCCCAGTCCTCACTGCATTCAGTGCAGGCCATGACCTGACTTGTGCAGTACCTCCTGTGGTTCGGCGTTGCCAACCTCACAAGGGTGGGCCTCTCACAGATTGCAGCCTAATTCATTAACTGTCATGGCGAACATGTTACCCTGCCAGTTAACTGCCCGCCACACGCATCTAGTGGCGGATTGGTGAAGCCCTGTGTGAGCATCATTCAAGTTCCATTAACATACTTGAGATGCTGGCAGTCTCGGAGAAACTGCGATGTTACTTCTATATTCGGTGTTGTGCCAGATGATCCTGGTTCGATGTGACTTTGACACAGTTGTAGTTTACATCGACGACCAGGTGGGCAGGCAGCCTGCACACCTGTGTACACTCACTTGAGAAATACCCCATTGGGGTTTTTTCCTCATAGCTTCTTGCTTTCGACGGTCCTCCTCCCAAGCAAGGACAACTAACCACATGTCAATCTGACTTGTTTCATGAACTAGTCACAGATTTCCAGGCTAATGCCTGAGGGTTCCTGACCCCTATACATGTACATGGCACGCGAATACGATGGTGATGAAGACGGACAGGCTACTTATATACACCTTCCTGTCGTCTTCCTCTTATCCATCGGGTACTTAATCAACTGGAGCAGAAAGATGACAAGGTCCTCTTCTTAACTCCATGTTGACCTCATTGATTGGTTTTCCAGGGTTATAACCATTCCCTTAGTTCACCAGTTGGAGGTACAAATGCTCTTCCGAGCAGAACAATATTCTGTTCCAGCACAGCTTGGGTTTCCTTCACCCAGCTCCGCAGGAATTTCTCCTGATGTACTGGATGCTGTAATGCTCTCCTGTTCACATCAGACCTTTCTCAAACAAGCTATGGCTTTTACAGCCTGCACTTGAGGGACTTCTAACATGACAGTAGATTACTTAATGTTAGTCAGTTGAACGTCCGTGTCAGTTAACTTAAGGGGATGTTTTAACACCCCTGAATTGCAGGACCTCTTCAACACCTTCTTATCCAAAAGTGTTATAGAGATCTTTAGAGTTCTGTGAACCAGTGAACAATTTCACATCTGTTTCATTGGTTCCTACGGTTGTCTTTTTTCTTTTCTGTTTTGTAAGCAGTTGTTACTTCTTGGTATACATGTAGTAAAGAACTGTTTTCTGTATAATGGAGACGGACCACATCTGATGGGAACCGAGTGTGCCCATCCGATTCCTACGGGAGGATTTTTGTTTTTTAACTAAGAATGTCGGAGTCCTCTTTACCTCCGGACATCTTTGTTCTAGGCATCAAATCATTGTCCATTCCAGATGGAAAATGTTGGTGCCGCTCATGACTTTGGCGTCTGATCCCTAAGGAAGGTTTTTTGAGCTAAGACGGTCGGAGTCCTCTTTGCCTCCGGATGTCTTTGTTCTGGGCATCAAATGATTCTTGTCCATTTCAGACAGCGAATTTTGGTGCTGATCATGACTTGATGTCTGCTTCCTAAGGAGGGATTTATACTAAGGACTGTCAGAGCCCTCTGGGCCTCCGGACGTCTTTGTTCCGGGCATCAAATCATTCTTGTCCAGACGGAGAATTTTTGGTGCCAATCATGACTTAAACGTCGTACATTAGCTGCACTGGGACGCTTTGAATCGGTCACTTGCAGTTACAAATGTAATTGTCACGACAACCCTGCCATACCAACAGGCTTCTCGCGACACGTAGTTGTCATGACAACCCTGCCATACAAGCAGGCTTCTCGTGACATGTTTTTTTTTGTCATGACGACCCTGCCATACAGGCAGGCCTTTCATGACATGTATTTATCATGGTGACCCCACCATACCTGCAGGCTTTCATGACAAGATTGCCTGAAGGTTGGCTACGGTCATCCATGAAACCACGGACATATCAACGGCAGAATCCGTGTGATTGGTCCGCATGCACAAAATAAAAGGCAGAGCATGGGAGAACAGTGTTGAGGGCGACTGACTGAGCCCCACCATGTTCTCAAGACATTTTCAGACCGGAGACCTCCCCAGCATTGGTGTCTCCTAACTCTGATTCTTTATTGAACTCTGTACATGTACATGGGCATATTATAGTGTCTATATGTACCATGTCATGATGTTTTGCCTTTCATGATAATTCTTATTTTGTGTGCCCCACCGAACTCTTATGTGTAGGTATCGGTGGGCTGTAATTCATTACGTGTGATTCCCACGGGGATCACATCTCTGTTGGCATGTTGAGGCTACCATTATGACTAATGTCTTTATCATGCCGACCTTTTTGGGCTGCCTTATCCACCCACATGTGGAGCGACGGGCCCATCCAGGGTTTACGCGTATTGTTACGTGCCCCTGTGAAAACACAATAGCATCTCGCATGACCCACCTCCTTGACGGTGCTAGTCTATGCATAAGTAGTGTTGCTCTACAGGTAAGTAGAGTGAAGTAGACTCCCCCCCCCCACAGAAGTGTGGTTGGGGTCTACGAACGAATACTTACCTGTAGAGCATCCCTCCCTCCTACCCCACTCTTCTCGATGCCTTGGGTACTTTGTTGTATTCCGACTTAGCGCTCGAGAAAAGAGGACGCTCACGAGGCACGCATGCCGCGGGGTGTTATGGGTAGGGCGCCGGAGGGCGCTATTGTATATAACTCTTAGCGAAAATACCTGCCGGTAGGGGGAATATGCATAAGTAGTGTTGCTCTACAGGTAAGTATTCGTTCGTAGACCCCAACCACACTTCTGTGGGGGGGGAATTCATGTTAAAGAACCCAGTAACACTTATCGCTTAGAGAAGCAAGGCACTTTACCATTATTGCTTCGTCCTTCGGATGGAACGTAAAGCCGCAGGCCCCGTGTGTTGTGCAATGCAGGTTAAAGAACCCAGTAACACTTATCGCTTAGAGAAGCAAGGCACTTTACCATTATTGCTTCGTCCTTCGGATGGGACGTAAAGCTGGAAGTCCCGTGTGTTGTGTAATGCACGTTAACGAAACCAGTAACAAGAGAAGGGGTTTGCCCCGGTGTTTCTGGCAGTGGCTGCAGTATGTGCCCCAGCACCTCGCAAACCTTTATAAACGTGCTACATAATTGGTCTCATATATAAATTTCATTTACCTGTCTTTAAAAATAGACATAATTTCCAGCGCCTTGAGTACCTAATTGTTGGTAGATACGTGCACTATATAAGTTTCAGGTATTATTATTGTCATGCATCTGGTCTACACGGTGGGCCAGAGTTGACCCATTGCATTAGTGTTACGGGGTAATCCTATACAACAGCACTGCCCGGCTCCTATTTGACAGTCAGTCAGTCAGTCAGTTGATAGAAAAGGTACATATGCAAGAGGACTCATGGCTTGCCCTCACACTGCTTAGTATGAAGGATGTGACTTGACCCAAAACAAACAAATATCCATTTACTAATTTCCCCTTGAGTTAAATGAAACCCCGATTTTAGTTACGAGACCTGGTGTGTTTGCTTACACTCTCAGCACTCCAGTTTTAATTTTACAAGTCTACAACGATTTTCATAAAAGCTGAGTGTACCTGATCCCACAAAATGATGTTTAATTACTTTTTTTCAGGAACTAGTTTTTCACATGTAGAAAGGGCATAACATTGTCCTCATTGTGATGTGCCCCTAAAGTTGATCATGAAATAAGTTTGATCACATATATTTGATTGATAACTGTCCTTCAGGTGTATTTCGGACCGCCGTTCGGTGAGGATTCGAACCCTCCGAGTGACCGGGAATCATCTCAGTTGTACGTGGATTTCCTGGTCACATACATTGACCTCCTAGAGAAGGCATCGACTGAGTAAGTTCTGATTTTATTTACTACATGTACATAATTTGTTTTTGGTAATGAAACCAAGGATTCCTCAAAAGCGCCCTAGGCACTGTAGCTCGCAAGCCTGACGAAACCTGTAGAGAGGAGACAATGAGAAGAAATTACAGTTTTAGAGGTGGGAGGAAAACCCATGAAGAATGTTCTGAGGAAAACCCATGGAATCAGGTAGGGACTGAAAACCCAATCCACATGTTGGCCAGAGCAGGAATCGAACCCGGGCCATAAGGAAGGCGAGGAGAGAACCACTGCAAAACTCTGACTCCCCAAACGCACTTCTTTTGTTGGTCGATGTTTCAGTCAAATTTTGTATTTTGAAATTGTTTCCAGATGCGTATAGTGTTACTTTAAAAATAAGCTCAATCGGATTTCGGAAGCTGCTGGCCAACGAATGCCTGTTCTTGCATGAGTCACGTGATTGTGCCATGTAATTTCTGGAAGGAGTAGTGTTTTGGGTGACCCCATGATGACCTTTGACTCCAGTTTGGTCATGTGACATGTTGGGCTGGGCTACTGATACTTTTGACAAAGTTTGGTTGAAATTAGTCAAAATATGTAGGAGAAATAGACAATGTCGACATTTGTTACAAATCAACGTTTGTTACTAACTAACTAACTAAACAGAGAGACGTGTTGATTTGTTGAGCTGTCCTACAGCTGAAAATAAAGAAACAAGTGTTATTAAAGAGTCCTGAATATGATTTAAAAATACTTCCTGCTTTTGTGTTCCTTTCAGTAAAGTGCGTGTTTTGTACGGCGGCACTCAGCTTTTCGACTATGAAGTTAAAGAAGCCATCGCACATGATTTGCGCCTCTGCATACCAACTGGTAAGAACTACGTGGCTATGTGTTGTGTCCTTGGGCAAGCCACTTCATCCCAACTTGCCTCTCTCCACCCAGGAGTATAAAGGGGTACCGGCATTAGCTGGGGAGTAACCTGCGATGGACCAGCATCCCATCCAGGAGGATTAAAAATATTCTCAGTCGTTTCATGCCAAGGAATAATGGGCCATATTGATAATCATAATGCGTATTTATAAAGCGCACATATCCACCAGTATTGGTGCTCAAGGCGCTACATCATAATTACCCTGCTCATTGGGCCAATGAAACATTCCAAAGACAATCTCAGCTCCCTGGGGAGTATATAGCTTGATACTGCCATATCAGTGCAAAGAAGCTGGGTGGAGAGAAGCAATGAGTGACAAAGTGCCTTGCTTAAGGACACAAACACCGCAAACCCGGGCTGGACTCGAACCCACAACCTGCGAAATGACCAACACTTCACTTACTTTCTTGTTTCTCCGTGCTCAATCTCTAGGTATATTGCGATCGCGTATTCCTTCTGTGTGTGTGTGTGCTATTTTTGATAGGTTCACTATAAGTTCAGTCATCAATCTCAACCAAACCTGAAAGGTGGTCTATGGAGAGAAGGCCAACGTCAAAAAAATCCTTTCCAATATGGATATTTACGAGGTCTCTGGAGAGCTCAGTTCAGTATTACTAATGACTCTAACATGTGGGCCTTTCCACACTAAAGGGGTACAAAAGTGTGACATGGGATTTGGAAATGAAGCAGGAAAACAATATCAAGTTGTTTGTCCCATTGTTTACTGGTACATTCCCACCCCATTGTTGAGGATTGTGTTTTTAAAGAATTTAAGACTTTCCAGGCGAATTTGACAAGATATTTATGCTCACAGTGCTAGGTATATAACATGGACAGAAAGTTTGCCAGGGGGATCGCGCAAGCTTTACTTGCAGTATTTTTTTATCTTCTTCCCCTGTTCTTACATCCAGGCATCACCATCTTCGTCCTCCTCTTCGTCCTGACCTCCTTCTCCCTCTGGTTGACCTTCTGGGGATTCCTCAGCATCATCCTCAGCTTTGCCTGGGCTTACTTCATCTACCACGTCGCCTTCGGCAAGGCGGCCCTGGGCCTGCTTAACCTGGTCTCTGGCTTTGTCATCATCGGCATCGGTAAGAATTTTTTTGAAATGCACGTAGGAATTTCAATTCAATTCAATTCAATTCGATTTGTCACAGCCCAAAGGGTGAATTGTGAATGTTTACAGTAAAGTACAAATATAACAAAACATTTGAATTACTTCATAAAAAAAAAAAAATCGTCATAAATTAATAGCTATCAAATAAGACTAAATGAATAAGATGTCAAATACATGTAGGATAGCAATATAAGGACACACATAAAGAATACATATTTTATCTTCTAAGTAAACAATAAAGCAACATTCGTGCTGATGAAATTAAGGTTTTTAATAAGCTCAATTGAAAATAGAAATTTTGATTTCTATGTTATTATAACAAATTATCATATATGAATTCTCACTTATGAGGCAGAGCGCTTTTCCGGTAGTGTTCTGTTCTACACCTAATTTTCTGAAGTCTGCTACCAGAACGCAATTCCGTGCGTGAAGTGCGTGTCTCAGGTAGCCAGTCACGGAAGCAACGAAACAACCGAGATGCGAAATTCCAACATAGATCATAACGTCTGCTCTGGAGTGAAACAAGGTTGCACGTTTCAAGCGCTTGTTCATATGATTCGTAATGACTAGAAAGTATGGTTCGTAGAGCGCGTTGTTGATTTCTTTCTATTGCTACCTGTTGCTGGGTCAGGGAAGATGTATGATGTGAATACTGTTAGAAGATTAGTGGTTGGCATTCCAAAACGTTGGAGCATGGGGATGATGTACAGTTTTCTGGCTGCCTTGGAAGTGATGTGGTTAACATGGTCTGTCCATTGGAGGTCATTTATAGCTTGACATGAAATATGTAAATATCCGGAACAGACCGACTGATTACACGAGTGAAATCCATGCTCAACGTGAATAAAGGACTGGTACCTACCCTGATATAGTATTGTTCCAAAGAAAACAATAATTATTAAAGGTGGTTTTAAAATATGTGCCGGCGGGCACATTCTTTTACCTGTTACCAACAGAATCCAGGCATAAGACCTGTTTGCTGTTTTTTCAAAGTGTGCAGTAGCCACTAAAGCAAAAGTGAAACGCGATAGTTGTTATGTACTCTTGATGCTCACATGAAGACGCAGTGGGATTGTACACATTTTGGAATATACTTCACGTGCACACTTCACGCCATACACGCATTTACGTGTTTTTCATAACCCCCGACTACCGACGCACAAAGGGAGAGCAACAGATCCTTTCAGTCCTCGGGATTTGTGTCTTTTGTTGCAAACGGTCCTAGATCGTACGGTTATGTGCTTAGTCTATGGTAGTGTGTTATATTACAGCACAAAGGGAAACACAAAGCATTGTCCTCAGGAGTATAGTAAAACAAGAGTGTGTGTGTGCTTGTGGTGTCCATCTACTCTCATACACACGGTTCATTCTCCATCACTCTTGATTGATTATTAGGAGTGGATGACGTCTTCGTCTTCGTCAACACCTTCTTGCAAGCTGAGCATTACAAGGATCCAGTACAGCGCATGGCACACACCGTCAAGACGGCGGGCATTGCAACATTCTTCACGTCATTCACAACCGCCGGAGCCTTCGCAGCTAACATCGCTTCCCAGGTAAAAGAAGATGAGGCCTCCCTTCCTTCCCCCTCCCCAACCTTCCCACCCCCTCCCCCCTCGAAACCCTGCCCTCAATACACTCTTGGTTTAAAATATTGCTTACTATAGTTGATGAATTCAATAACCTAAAAGTGGACTTTTGTTCTCTCGTAAGAACGGGCCCCATAACTATACAATGGCCATACAACGTAGGCCTACAACATAGCCTGATCGATTAAACAGAAATTTTTTGTCTGTTTGCTCCACGAATTCATGGCAGATTTGATTGATTTTATGAGAACTTTTATGGGTTTGTTGATGGTGAAAATGATGGTTAAGGCAGACGGTGAATTTTAATTCAGAATTTTGGATTCAGAATGGATGAGAAGAGACCATAACGGTTTGCACTGTCTCTGAAATCGCTGGTACAAATCATACCAAGTCATTTTTTCCTATCCCACACTATCAGCATTGCGTCGCGTCGGACAGTAGCTGACTATTTTATCGCGCCAAAATTATCCATTTAGGTCAAAGGTTATTGTGCACAACACCCGCAATCGGACATTCTGCAAGTCACTCGCAGCGAACAAACGTTCCGTCGGTGTTAAAGAAGTCTGAGTTGGAACGCAAAGTAGACTTACGGAAATGTCGCGGTAAGCTTCCGCATGGCTGTGGGAACAGGGCTTTATTCTCATTCTCAGTTTTGTGTTTCTCACCATGTTTGTCACCCTATCTGTTGTCCCTATTGACATCTCCTTTCTCTCTTTCCCACAGATCCCAGCTATCATTGACATTGGCCTGTTCATGCGCCTCATTCTTATTCTGTGTTTCTCACCATGTTTGTCACCCTATCTGTTGTCCCTATTGACATCTACCCCACGTCTCCCTCACAGATCCCAGCTATCAATGACTTTGGCTCATTCATGTGCCCCATTCTGTGCCTAACTGTGTTTGTCACACTGTCTGTTATCACTCTTGTCATTGTCAGTTTCTGTTTCTCACCGTGTTAGTCACCCTGTCTGTTGTCCCTAGTGACATCTTCCCCTTTTTTCCCCACAGATTCCAGCTATCAATGACTTTGGCCTGTTCATGTGTCTCATCGTCACGTCTTGCTGGATCATGGTGGCGCTTGTCATGCCATGCGCCCTCACGCTGTGGCAGCGCTGTTTCCACTGCGAGGTTTTCATGTAAGTAGACCAACACAAAATTTTACGATATGTTTAAGGTAGTAAGTATTTTTTTTCTTTTGCAACTCTGTGAATTTCTCAACTTATAGATAGATAGACTTGCCTACATATGTTTGCCTTAATATGACCATGCATAAATATGTCTTAATGTTATAATGTCAACCTGTTCTCAGATTCAGGCGTTGCACAAGGCGCTCTGATGATCCAGCAGCTGCCATGGAGACGCTCTCCCGTGTCCTAGACCGCCACGAGAGACAGGCCACGCCTCCGAGCGAGACGTCGTCAAGCGAGACGGGCTCGGGACCGGAACGGTCACATGAGGATAACGACATCCCAATGCTGGACCTAGAAGAAGATACCAACATTCAACGTAAGATTCTTGGGGGTTGTTGGTCCATCACAAGTCCATCACAAATCCTTCACAAGTCCATCACAAGTCCATCACAAGTCCTCACAAGTCCATCACAGATCCTTCACAAGTCCATCACAAGTCCATCACAAGTCCACTACAAGTCCATCACAAGTCCATCACAAGTCCATCACAAGTCCATCACAAGTCATCACAAGTCCGCACAAGTCCATCACAAGTCCATCACAAGTCCATTACAAGTCCATCACAAGTCCATCACAAGTCCATCACAAGTCCATCACAAGTCCATCACAAGTCCATCACAAGTCCATCACAAGTCCATCACAAGTCTATCACAAGTCCATCCAAAAGTCCTTCCGTCCCAACTCAAGCCAAAAGCTATTGAAGTGAACCATGCCAAATATATTCTTTTGTTATTGTTCATGTCCTGTTACATGTGACTAAACTTGAAAAAGGACTTGTGATGGACTCCAAATCTGGTATAGCGCCCTCACTAGGGTGTCCACAAACACACTTAATGCGCCATTTCTCCATATTAAACAGATCTCCTGATTGATGACAACGATGAGCCTCTGATCTTGACAAACGACGACGACTACTCCCACGCCCCCACTATCCCAGCCAGAGGCCCCGCCCCCAAACAGGCCCGCAGCATCACCAAAATTCTCCAGGGATTCCTGAATCGATTCGTAGCCACGCCCTTCATCCGCGGCCGCTGGCTTGTCATCCGTGAGTTCTCTCAAACCCATCCATCTCGTTGAATTGCTTTAAACCAAAGAATTCCTTGAGATTTCTGTCTGTACTTTATTCATGTAAGAAATATTGAATTACAGTGTGTATTAAAAAAAACGCAAACAAAAGATAACAGAATGCGAGACGTAGAATGTGTAACCAACATAGATGAAATAGGTATGGTTTGAAAGATACGCCTTTCCACTTTAAAATGACACATCAAACGTCCAAATCTGATAATTTTTGACAGAGTTATGAGTAATTTTCCAAGAGAGGTCAAATTGACCATGGGACTAAGTTTTCCATTTTGGGCATCGGGACAAAGGTAGACTAATTGCCTCTGTGTGGATATTTGCCTGGCTGACAAAAAAATGTGTAAACACAATTCTAAACACTTTCTTGCTATCAATTTTTAAACATGTTAACATGCTAAACAGTTTTAGCATAAGTGTAAGCAAGTGTTTAGAATTGTGTTTACTCGCTAAACACATTTTATTTTGTAGGTCTGGCAATTATCCACACAGAGGCAATTAGACTACCTTTGTCCAAATAAACTATTTTTCTCCCAATGCCTAAAATTGAAAACTTGGTCCCATGGTCAATTTGACAGCTCTTGGCAAGTTGCTCATAATTCTGTCAAAAATTATTGGATTTTGATGTTTGATGTCTCAATAGCGAAAAGACGTATCTTTCAAATCATATTTTATGTTGGTTACACATTCTATGTCCGGCATTCAGTTATATTTTGTTTGCCTTTTTTTGATACACACTGTAAACTAATGTTTCATTTTTCCCTTGCTTCAGTTGTGTATGTAATGATCTTTACTGCCTCACTGGTACTCGTCATCCACATCAAGCCGGCGACCCGCCCCCCGGCCCTCTACAACAAGCAGACCAACTTACAACAGCTCCTAGACCTGGCTTACAACTTCTCGGGCAAGGATATCAGTTGTAAGGGTTGCTCGGGGCTCGTCACGGACGGTCCCCATGTTCAACCGCAACCGGTCCCAGGCGGGCCTGTTACCTTACCGATGGTACCCATACCCACCAAGCACCCTACCCCAGGGGGAGGGCAACACCCTGTGACGCACCCCCACGGGAAACCGGTAAGAACTGGGCTGCTTAATGCTAGGCACAAATAGGGTAAAGAGAGTAGGCTAAAGGGAGCAAATTCCTTGAGTGGATTCTCATGACTGGTCACTAATGTATAAAGTTGCAGCCTGTGTAGTTGTAGTGTTTTGGTGGTCAGTAAATTATTGTTAACATTTTTAAAGGTATAGTCCATCATTTGTAATTCGTGCATTTTGCTCGTTTGAAGCAACAAACATTCTCAAAATCTAAAGAAGGGTGATAAACAACTAAGCTGATTAAGTTTCAGCTCAGCTTCAGCTGTATTTTTCTACAAAAACAACATTCTAGGATCTCGATTTCAAATCAAAAGTTGCTGAATCAGGTTTTGAATTGGGCCTGAAGTCAGCGTCTGAGACACGTTCTTACTGAGCCGAATGCAGCTACGCAGTGTCGCGCACTGATCCGACAAATTATAGAGGGCGCGTGTGCATCGTGTCAACGCTTGCGAGTGCTATGCCGTATTAAAAAACGAACTACTAATGGAAATTTCCAGCGGTGCGTCTTAAGACACACCGTTGGAAAGGCCTTCTTTCGTTGATTTCTTCAAAATGACAGCATGCCAGAAAGAATAATTTCCCAGGGAGTTTAGTCCCCTTGCTATCTTTCAACCAAGTATGTTTTTCAACAGTAATTACGTCGGTCACTTTTTGGATAGCTACAAATGATGGACTGTAGCTTTAAGCGTTGCTTTGAGTCTGGTCAAGTCATTGGCTGGCAGTGAGTCACGAGAAGCTGTTTACCTGCGATGGCTTAAATGGAGTCGAGTCACCAAACAAATGTTAAGACTCAAGTTAAGATTTGAGTTGAGTCACAAAAAAGTGTGACTCAAGTTGGACTCATGTTGAGTCACAGAAAACTGTGACTCAAGATAGACTCACGTTGAGTCACTGAAAATTGTTACTCAAGTTGGACTCACGTTGAGTCACTGAAAATTGTGACTCAAGTTGGACTCACGTTGAGTCACTGAAAATGTGACTCAAGTTGGACTCACATTGAGTCACTGAAAATTGTGACTCAAGTTGGACTCAATTTGAAGCACTGAAAATTGATTCAAGTTGGACTAATTGAGTCAATTGAAAATTGTGACTCTCAAGTTGGACTCAAGTCAAGTCACGGAAAATTCATGATGGAAGATGGAATTTTGCGTCAGGGTGATGTAAATCAAATTAAGTTTTGCCCTTTACCGACGTACATGTATAAACCCTCACGGAAAATTGTGACTCGAGTTGGTCTTGAGTTGAGTTGTTGCAAATTGAGACCCAAGTAAAACTCAAAGTGAGTCACTGAAAAAAAACACAACTTAAATTGGACTCGTTGAGTCATAAAATATGGTGGACTTGATTTGAGTCATTGTCTCGAGTCATTACAACTCTTTGTCAACTCACTATATCCACTAATATGTCCACTATAGATGACCCCTGGAATTGCTAAGCCAACGCAGCCCTCCATCCACACCCAACCGCCTGACATCCACACCCAACCGCCACACGTCCACACCCAACCACCAGACGTCCACCACAAATCCACAACTCGCCAACATGTGGCACCAGTTCGACCCACAACAACCACTAGACCTGTTCAAAGTAAGTCGGGGGAATATCATTTATTTGGACAAAAGAGGGCGCCGTTTAAAAAGAAAAGCTGAGCTAGCTGGTTCACGCACACTGTTCTTTAGTTATATGCGTAGTGTTCTTTCAGACTAGATTTTTGGCAGTTTGTCAAAAAAAGGTTTTTGTTGGACTTGAATGTCCAGATTACTGTCCTTTTACTGACTGATCATTGGGCGGGGCTTCATGGATCATTGGGCGGGGCTTCATAGATCATTGGGCGGGGCTTCATAGATCATTGGGCGGGGCTTCATAGATCATTGGGCGGGGCTTCATAGATCATTGGGCAGGGCTTCATGGATCATTAGGCGGGCTTCATAGATCATTGGGCGGGGCTTCACGGATCATTGGGCGGGGCTTCCTGGATCATTGGGTGGGGCTTCATACACTTATTGGGCGGGGCTTCATTTATCATTGGGCGCTTCAAGGGTCATTTGGGGTTTCATAGATCATTTGGCGGGGCTTCATAGATCATTGGGCGGGTCTTCATGGATTATTGGGCAGGGCTTCATAGATCATTGGGTGGGGCTTCATGGATCATTGGGCGGGGCTTCATGGATCATTGGGCGGGGCTTCATGGATCATTGGGCGGGGCTTCATGGATCATTAGGCGGGGCTTCATAGATCATTGGGCGGGGCTTCATGGATCATTAGGCGGGGCTTCATGGATCATTAAGCGGGGCTTCATGGATCATTAGGCGGGGCTTCATAGATCATTGGGCGGGGCTTCATGGATCATTGGGCGGGGCTTCATAGATCATTGGGTGGGGCTTTACAGATCATTGGGTGGGGCTTTATAGATCATTGGGCGGGGCTTCATGGATCATTGGGCGGGGCTTCATGGATCATTAAGCGGGGCTTCATGGATCATTAGGCGGGGCTTCATAGATCATTGGGCGGGGCTTCATAGATCATTAGGCGGGGCTTCATGGATCATTAGGCGGGGTTTCATGAATCATTGGGCGGGGCTTCACGGATCATTGGGCGGGGCTTCATAGATCATTGGGTGGGGCTTCATAGATCATTGGGTGGGGCTTCATAGATCATTGGGCGGGGTTTCATGAATCATTAAGCGGGGCTTCATGGATCATTAACTGACCCTGACTAACATTCTTTCCTGTAGGACAAACCTGCGCCGATCGCAATCAGCCGTGCCCATTCTACAGCACCTGTGACGACAGTGACCCATCCCAGGGCCCTGTCTGTCACTGTAAATTCTCCTGCCCCAACATGTGGGACATAGTGTGCGGTTCCGACGGCCAGAACTACAAAAACCAGTGCGCCATGCGGAAGGCATCCTGCGAAAAGAAACAACTGATTGAAATGGCATACTCCAGTCCCGGCCCCTGCTTCAGTCAGTATTCACTTCGTTCTGGCTTGCATGCTTTCCCTTGGATCAGCTGATTTTCGTTTTTCACTGCTCACTTCATTGTGCCATTAAAAATTCCTCATTTATTTTTGGTTTCTTCCGGGTTGCATGGCTGGATTTGAGATTTAGTCCTTGTTTTGGGGGCATATTGTTGGATTGGTTTTTAGCATCAATATCAATTCCTCTATAGACAGTCCAAGTTTCAAGTTTGTTTCATATTATACAATGTCTGAATAGATCCCTGTTCTCTGATTGGTGGGTTTTTGATCACGTGTCATTGAATTCATCGTCCCAACCCAGGGCCCTGCCGCACTGCAAAAAAAAAGAAGTTCGATTCCACAGTAACACTATTCAGGCGTTGTATAATATATGAATGTTTCACTAACATGCGATGGAAAGAATAATGTCATTCGGTGACATGGAATGTTCCATTTCGCCTCATGGAATGGAATATACATCTGTCACCTCATGGAATTATTCTTACCATTGCACTCATAAACATTCATTGTTTGAATATTATTATGGAGCCAATACAAGACACAAATCAACAATACACAGCTTTCAGCAGTGCAGTCTGCGATAAGCACATTATGTAGTTTGCTATGAAGCGTTCTTGCAAAACGAGTCAGAAGTGGGCAGAGGTCAAAATGAGGGTTTGCAGGTATCATTAACGGACAAATTCTCCTTACATTTCTGTTTGTTGCAGTTTAATCCGATATTCAATTGACAAGCTATGGCTGTTTAAAGTTTGCGTTTATTGATATGCCAAAAAGCAAAAACTGAGAAAAAGGCCTATAAAAGTTTCAAGTTTTGTTTTCGTGAAAATGAAAGATGCCAATTGTTTTCCTTTAAAACACTTGTATTCCACGAATTTTTTAACGATTTCTTTAAAACATGTGTGGCACACATATCAAAGATTATAAATGTCAATAAATCTGAAATTCAAAACAAAAATAAGCCCATTCAGTTTTTTTTTTTTTTCACTTCTCTCCACTACGGCTTGTGCCCAGTTCCGTCTCATTTTGCCAGAATGCCTAGTATTAATATTTTCTATTGTACATGTTTCATCATTTCTGGTTTCTACTTTCAGATCCACATACTCCAGCCAGTGGAGGGGGCGGAGATTCGGGTGGAGGAGGAGGAGGAGGAGGTGCAGGAGGTGGAGGGAGTCAAGGGTCAAATACTGTCAAACCCGGAGGGGGAGATGGTGCCGGATCCCCTCATGCAGGGTACAACCCTTGCCCAGGGGGCTCGTGTGGTAAGCCGGGGGAACGACCAGTGCTTGACAACACTGCCCTCGTGTACCTGGTGTTTGGAATCGACCACTATGCCCCAAGTAATACAACGCAGGAGCATGTGGTGGAGGACAGCAAGGTGAGAGGGAGGAGCCTCAGACTGGATTGGTCTGGTTCACTCTGGTTTGATCTGGTTCATGTCTGGCTCAGACTGGTTTACTCTGGCTCAGATTGGTTTGGTCTGGCTCAGACTGGTTTGCTCTGGCTCAGATTGATTTGGTCTGGCTCAGACTGGTTTGGTCTGGCTCAGACTGGTTTGCTCTGGCTCAGACTGGTTTGCTCTGGCTCAGATTGATTTGGTCTGGCTCAGACTGGTTTGGTCTGGCTCAGACTGGTTTGGTCTGGCACATGCTAGCTTGGTCTGGCTCAGAATTGATTGTATTGGTTTGGTCTGCTTCAAACTGGTAAGCTAAACTGGTTCAGACCAGATCTAGCCAGTCTCAGACTTGTTTAGATCGGTTGAATCTAGAGCAAATTGAATAAGGCTGATTCCTAAATTGTTTTCTATATTTTCATTTCTCTTCATGACCATGCCCACATTTTTTGTCCTTTTTTACATTTGTTTGTAGGGTACAGCAATCTATGATCCAGACTTTGACCTTGGGAGAGATGAGACAAAAATAGCTCTGTGTAAAATCTGCAAGAAGATTGCGGCGAAGAAGGACCTAGTCATTCCAGGCGGCGCTCAGTGCTTCCCAAAAGGTATCAGTCTCGGTTCAAGACTCATTTTGTTCCCCTAAAAACAGCCGGTCCCTGCTAAGCATTCAAGCCGCTGCGATGGTAGAGGGCGCTCTTAAAAATATAAACCAAAATCCAGCCTTGGGAACTTTTGCACTTGAATCCAAAGAAATTCTCTGCAAACCTCACTCATGCGCATTAGCTTGAAAGCAGAGTGCCAGGCATGCTGGGAATTTCTCGGGTCAGCTTGCCAACATTCTCAAGACTGGGCTTGATTCATCTTGTTGAGAGCGTTTGACTACTGATGCCGAAGATCTGGATAGTCTTAAGTATCACCCGTTGTCCAACGGAGCAGTCTCAGTAACCAACGTATGATATAATAATAATAATCTGGGAGGCTAACGATGCAGTTTAAAAAGTTGCTATTTAAGAGATACGCGAGGAGAAATTGCTAAGCGCCAACACATGTGCCTGTAATTTATTGGTCCTATCGACTGCACAGTACACGAACAAAGCACGGGTAATACAAGCACGGTGCGATCGAGATTCCCTGCCGTTCGTTTCGGGCAGTGTCACATTGTCACGCAGCAATTTCCACTCGACTCGCGTACTCATTAAATTTGCAATTTTCAAACTGCGTCATTTTTCATAAACTGTTGTCAGTATTGGACAATTTACAGTCTTTGGCAGCAAGCGGGGTATCAAAATGTAGCTAACAACATTCCCCAAAGGTCTATGTAAATGACGTTATCATGAAACGATCTGCTTCAAAATTGTGACCCTCCAATGAGTTTGGACTTTCTTTTTCTGCATGGTTTAGAAGGCACCCACTGAATGGTCAGAATATCGAGGTCAATTGAGACGCAGTCTTGTTTTGCATGACTTAATCGCCAAATTGCTTGCATATCATAGTCCCTTACATATCATAGAATGGGGCCACTTGGGCCTTTGATTTTTCATCCTTTTCATTACTATATTTTGTTCGTTTTTAACTTTCAGAATATTCTAGCCTCATCAACGCTATGAAAGCCACATATGAGGATTGCAAGGACATCCCAGATTCCTATTCCAATAAGTTGATCGGACTTCACAACAACAAGGTTTACTGGTTCGCTATGGCCTTCAAATCGGTATGTTAGATTGGGTTTTACCATTCCAAGTGGTTCATTTGAACAATCTACTTTCATCTCTGTCCGCTGTTCACATTTTATGACTATAAGCCAAGACATTCTTGTAGGTTCACTGAGGAATTTCTTGGGGGAAACCCTCTGTCATTTGTTCGCAGTCTCTGGAAAAAAACAAATTTGGACTCAATTTATTTATTCAGTTATTTATTTATTACATTTTGTTACCCAGGGTATGCCCTAACGCCATTAACTGGTTTCCATTGGGCCCTGCATACAATACAAATAACTACAGACATGTACAAATACACTACACTACACTACACTACACTACACTACACTACACTACACTACACTACACTACACTACACTACACTACACTACACTACACTACACTACACTACACTACACTACACTACACTACACTACACTACACTACACTACAAAAACTGAAAGCACATGGGATTAATAAATAATTGTTAAGCAACTTTTATAAATATTGCAAAACTATTACAACTACATGAACAACATCGCTTTACTATAAGGTGAATTCAGTGAACACAAAAGAATGTGTATATTCATTGTGAAATCAAAAAATTAAGGCCGCTGATTTGCTGATTACTGGAGGGGTGAAAACCCCGCGAAAAACCCTTTTGGGAGAAAACACTGTAAAATTCCCATCCGGCTCTGTATTTCTATGGCAACCAAGTTTGGCAACTCGGTAGATCAGCACAGATTTAGATCTAATAAATGAAGACAATAAAAAAACGCTCACATATTTGCGGAATATCACTGACTGAACTTTTTACGTAGTGCAGATTTGAATGAGGTTAGAGAAGTCTTTGTTCTCAACTGTACATGCAAGTTATTCCAGATGATTGTACCAGTTACAGCAAAGCTCGAGGCATAACATTCTTTTTTGGCAAAGAGAATCCTCAGTGCCATAACATGATTGTCTCGTTTCACGAATCTGAATGTGTGGTGTAAACAGATTTGTCATATACAAAGTAGTAATTTTGTTTATACATTTGTAACAAGAATAGCTTTTTGTACTAAACTCATGACACTAAAATTTATGACGACATATCCATGCTGTACCAATATTTAACCGACTGAATCTGAAGTTCTTCAAAAAGAGGTTTTTACAAAACTATGAAAAACTTATTTTATTATATTTCTTTAGAATATCTTCCAAGGCAAGTCCTCCTTCGCGGCTTACAAGGATTACAATGCTTGGGAGACGGCCATCCAGGAGGCAAAAGACTCCCTGACTGACGAGGAGAAGGTGGGTCTGGAGACAATGTTCCAGACGAGCGATTACTGGAAGCAAGTCTTCATGGAGATTGTGGGTAAGTTACAGCCTCTTGTAGACCACGTTAAGCACATGGTGAGTGTCCACAATATACTTCACGTTCCTGCTTGTAGTGTCCCACAGATTGATATCCGTCCTTTATAACCACACAAACACAAATGCATTTGGAGGTCTTGTTAAGATAATAATCACTGTTTAACACAAAACAATCTCGGTCGGAAATATCTCGGAAGCTGCGGGCCAACGAATTCATGTTCATGCATAAGTCACGTGATTGTGCCATGTAGTATAGTATGTTGAGTTTTAAAAAATAGGCCTTTGACCCCAGTGATCCCATGATGACCTTTGACCCCAGTTTGGTCATGTGACATGTTGGGGCTGGGCTACTGATACTTTTGACAAAGTTTGGTTGAAATCGGTTAAAATATGTAGGAGCAAAAGACAATGTCAATGTTTGTTAACGTACGGACTAACGGAGAGACATGATGATTTGTTGAGCTGCTATCCCGCAGCTAAAAAATTCGCACCATAAAGCGTACACTTCAAAAATATAGAACTCCCAAGTCCTTGTGGCCCAGTGCAATCGGAAGACCATTTGGCAACACCTATGGCCAAGTTCGGGCAAGGACCATTAGTCGACTAGTGGTTGATTTGTGACGTACCGTACGCCTGCGCACTGGTAGCAACGTGCGAACGTCTCTAGTCAAACGCTGGTCAAAATGTTATCGCAAAACTTCTGGATCCTGGCTCTCTGCTAGCGTTATGAATGCGCACGGCTATTGGTTACCAGCGAAGCAACCAACCCCAGTAGGATGGTTCCAAATAGTCGACTAGCGTAGTCAACCATCGTTGACTAGACAGAGTTCAGGCAAACGTTAATTAACCATTGGTCAACTATAGTCCTTGCGCGAACTTGGCCTATGATGTCAACTTCTGATTGACTTAAGATTGACTTGCTACTGACTTGTGATTGACTTGTGATGGTCTTGAGATGGACTTGTGATGGTCTTGAGATGGACTTGTGATGGACTTGTGATGGACTTGTGATGGACATGTGATGGACTGGTGATGGACTTGTGATGGACGTGTGATTGACTTGTTATTGACTTGTGACTGACATGTGATGGACTTGTGACTGACATTTGATTGACTTGTGATTGAAATGTGATTGACGTGTGATTGACTTGTGATTGACTTGTGATGGTCTTGTGATTGATTTTTGACTGACTTGGGATTGACTTGCGATTGACTTGTGATTGGCGTGTGATTGGCTTTTCATTGACTTGTGATTGACTTGTGAATGACTTGTGATTGGCTTTCATTGACTTGTGATTGACTTGTGACTGACATGTGATTGACACGTGATGCCGTCTGATCCATCACAAATATCCTGACTAAAACACTGCTAATTTGCTCTTGTTCATCCCTATGCAGGCGTAACGAGTGCCATATACGGCGTTGCCTTCTCGCTTCTAGTGTGTGTAGTAGCTGTAGTGATCTTCACAGCCCATATAGGCATTCTTCTCATAGCGTTCCTCACAATAGGAGGTAAGTACAGAGCAAAACCAATTCCAAAGCAACATCACAAATCACCAAAAATGTAACCAACAGTATCTCTTTATCCAACCTTTTAGTAGTGACCATAGCAACCAGAAGTGGCCCAAATGGGAAAAACAACTGATATCTTTTCGTAATCCATACAAAATTTGTTTTTAAAACCCTACGATATACAGGGTGAGTTAAACAAAAGTGGAACCCAAATCCCAAAAATTATATTTCATACCTGTTCATACCATACTTGTACCTGTTCTTAGGTGTGTAATTGATTGCAAACAAAATGCGGACTAACTAAATATAGTAAATTGTGGGCAGTATTTGAAAAAAGTCAGCTTTATCCAATGCTGGCCGGCTGACCAGCCTTGGAAATTGTTACAAAAATACCACTTTTCTTGAAAATGACAGCGCACCAGGTGCCATGATTTTAAAAGGATGCTTTAGACTGTCATTCACTGACTGAGACCAGTTTAAAGTAATTCATAATAATTTGGTAGTTTTGTTTTTTTATGTTTGCAAATGTTGTATATATTCCCTTTTAAATAATAAAACGACTTCTCAATAAAAGATATTGTTTTGTACAATATTTCCACATCAGAAAGAACCAGTTTTCCTTGTTTTGGAAACATCATGAACAAGGGAATGTTGTGGACACAAAAGGTACCTCAAATAGAGTTTGGTCACACACAAATTGAAGACCAACATTACTCAAAAGCAACTTGTCAACTTTCAAAGGGGCTTGAAAATACTGAGGCAAGCTACCAGCAAATGGCACCCTCAGTAATCCATGTGTAACCTGGAAAAACGAAACAGTATGGGGGAACTCACACTAAATAGACTCTGTGGGGATTAACTAACGAAACTAAATTAAACTCAGGATCTTTGAAGGGAAAAGTCGCGAGGAAATTTAATTAATAGAGAGACCAGAGACAAGACTTTAGATTTCAAATAAAAATGGACAAAAAAGGGAAATTATTTACAAAAGAGCACCACAGAATAAATTAAAGGGAAAATACAACATTTGCAAACATCAAAAAATAAAACTACCAAATCATTTTGAAATACCTTGCTGGACTGTTAGTGAATGACAGTGTAAAGCATCCTGTAAAATCATGGCACCTGGTATACTGTCATTTTCAAGAAAAGTGGTATTTTTGTATCAATTTCCAACGCTGATCGGCCGATCAGCGTTGGAAAAAACTGGCTTTTTTTTTCAAATACTGGCCCCAGTTGACCATCACACTTGTTTGCAATCGATTACACACCTATGAATGGGTACAAGCCAGCTAGACTAGTTCCCTGACCTTACAATTCCCCAATATATGTAAACTGCTCTGTTTCTTCTTAAATGGAGTCGGGGAACCAGACTACAGGAAAATGATTGTTTTTCTTGGGTTTTATAGCATTTTTGAACCCAAAACCTCAAAAAAGTCAGTGTAACTATATTTGCTATATATTTCCAACCCCCCAATTCCATCCATTTCTGAAAATTACAGCAAAAGCAAATGATGTATATTCCCTTTAACCAAAGCAAGAGCTAAAACCAGGACTGAACCAAAATAATGACCAAAACCAAGAGTTAACTACAAAAACTAAAACCTAAACCAACACAGTGTGAATCAGTGGATCTTAGAATACACTTAGGAGTACGGTGGCCCACAACTGTCACGGCAAAAGCAAAAGCGCCACGGCAAGCGCAAAAGCGCCGCGGCAAGCGCAACAGCGCCGCGGCAAGCGCAACAGCGCCGCGGCAAGCGCAACAGCGCCGCGGCAAGTGCAACAGCGCCGCGGCAAGCGCAAAAGCGCCACGGCAAAAGAAAAAGCGCCGCGGCAAAACAAAAAGCGCCGCGGCAAAAGAAAAAGCGCCACGGCAAAACAAAAAGCGCCGCGGCAAAAGAAAAAGCGCCGCGGCAAAACAAAAAGCGCCGCGGCAAGCGCAAAAGCGCCACGGCAAGCGCAAAAGCGCCACGGCAAGCGCAAAAGCGCCACGGCAAGCGCAAAAGCGCCACGGCGAAAGCAAAAGCGCCACGGCGAAGGCAAAAGTGCCACGGGTTTATTGGGAAGGGGCGTAATCATACATGCCGCTACTACATCAAAAAATAAATGGGAAGGAGAATGGCCGCCACCAGGAATTCTTATTAAGCACAGAATTTAATTCTTTGAGAAGTGATTTTATGGCTGAGAAAATAGCAAGGCCAAGGAAAACCGGTCAGGAAATAAATCGTCGATATTAATTTGTTGTAGGATAATTATTATTCCAAGAGAGTTGCTGCCGTGAATCAGAGTTTATCAAGGAGTGGGACTCGCTATCGGCACCATCAGGGCCGTTCCTCATTTCTTTACATTTCTTGGGATGCAAACAATTACGAGGACGGGAGGCTCTGTGAGCTGATGCATTTTTGAAAACATTTTTTTCCCCTTCCGACTAGCATGCAGAGAAGAGTTCCGTTAATTTGAGCCTTTTTTCACAGGTGTGTATACCAGTGTAGGCACGAAAGTGAGCTGCCCAGAGTGTATGAGTTAATTTTTTTTTTCTTTTTCAGTATATCATACACATCTATAGGAAGTCGATTAAGGCTCTCCTGCAGGGCTGCGGCAGTGGGTGGGTAAGGCTTGTCAACACGTAACTCGCCCGCGGGCCCATTAGGTTAGAAATTCCCAGAGAGCGGGAATTTCAAAACTCTTCGCTGAACGTTGCTTGCACTGACCGGTTTTCCTTGCTATTTTCTCAGCCATAAAATCACTTCTCAATTCATGGTGGCGGCCATACTCCTTTCCATTGAATTTTAGATGTAGTGGCCGCATGTATGATTACGCCCCTTCCCAATAAACACGACTGAGTTGAAGATAACTCACAAATCGAGAAATGGATCGTTCTATTAGACAGTTGCAACGCTTTCAACAGAGGAGGTTAGGTCGTGGATTTCATGTAAGGAACGTAACACAGGCGAAGACTTTGGATATAGAATAAGAAAGAAAGAAATTAACTTAAAAAAAAGGGGGGGGGGTAAGGGAGAGACACTAAACAAAGGAGAAGTGTTATCGTTGAGATGCACAGTTCTAAGCTCTTCTATGAAAATTTGGTGGCTCTGAAAAGAGCCGTTTGCTTTGTTTCGAGTGAATACGGAACTATTTGATGCAGGAAACAAGCCCTCTTTCTGCCCTGCAGGCTGATTCTGCGATGATGTGGAAGACTGTCCACAGGGCAACTCATCATCGCTATCGCTAAGGCCAAAAAAAAAAGTCTCCGGTTTCTGGTATGGAGCTTGCCCCAAAAGTGGTGCGGCGACGCGGCTTTTTTTTTTTTTTTACCTGTTTTTTTTTTTTTTTTTGGCTTCAAATGTCGGCTGATGACTGCAAATGGTGCCCGACTAAACTTAGTGCAAATATATGGGAGTCCAGAGAGGCCACATAAAGCTTATTCTCGATCATAACCCCATCTAAAAACACGTTAAAATTGTGCAGCAGCAGAATTCCAGTCAAACCAGTGAGTTTGGTGGTTTTGAGACATCATCTTTTATTGAAAAAAAAACTTTTTCATTTTGCCGACGCGCATGGCTACGGCGACGCGCGCGCATACCAGAAACCGGAGACTTTTTTTTTGGCCTAAGCATCATGAGGTCTTGTTCGGCTTGTTGGTTTCTTGAGCCGGGGGTGGGTGGGCCAATGAGTTCTAGGTTCTGAGTTAATTTCTTTCTTTCTTATTCTATATCCAAACTCTGGGCAGCTCAATTGTGTGCCTACACTGGTATACACACCGGTGAACTCATGGGCGTCGCCAGAATTTTTTCTAAAGGGGGCAAAACATATTTTTCCCAAAAACTTCTTGTATTTCTGAACAAATCTCTCAGTTTTTTCCCCTTCCTTTTTTGTGTGCTATTCCAGGGGGGGGGGGAGCGCCCCCTTGCCCCCCTCGCGACGCCCATGGGTGAACTGAGTCTCAAATTAACGGAACTCTTCTCTGCATGCTAGTCGGAAGGAAAAAAACTCTTCAAAAAAATGCATCAGCTCACAGAGCCTCCCGTCCTCGTAATTGTTTGCATCCCAAGAAATGTAAAGAAATGAGGAACGGCCCTGATGGTGCCGATAGCGAGTCCCACTCCTTGATAAACTCTGATTCACGGCAGCAACTCTCTTGGAATAATAATTATCCTACAACAAATTAATATCGACGATTTATTTCCTGACCGGTTTTCCTTGGCCTTGCTATTTTCTCAGCCATAAAATCACTTCTCAAAGAATTAAATTCTGTGCTTAATAAGAATTCCTGGTGGCGGCCATTCTCCTTCCCATTTTATTTTTTGATGTAGTAGCGGCATGTATGATTACGCCCCTTCCCAATAAACCCGTGGCACTTTTGCCTTCGCCGTGGCGCTTTTGCTTTCGCCGTGGCGCTTTTGCGCTTGCCGTGGCGCTTTTGCGCTTGCCGTGGCGCTTTTGCGCTTGCCGTGGCGCTTTTGCGCTTGCCGCGGCGCTTTTTGTTTTGCCGTGGCGCTTTTTCTTTTGCCGTGGCGCTTTTTCTGTTGCCGCGGCGCTTTTTGTTTTGCCGTGGCGCTTTTTCTTTTGCCGTGGCGCTTTTGCGCTTGCCGTGGCGCTGTTGCGCTTGCCGCGGCGCTGTTGCGCTTGCCGCGGCGCTTTTGCGCTTGCCGTGGCGCTTTTGCTTTTGCCGTGACAGTTGTGGGCCACCGTATAGGAGTCACTTCCCATAGACCCATGTGTGACTGCTAGCCATAAGCCAAATTAATTTGAACACACATACTGGAATTTATATTCTTCTTGAGTCATTTCTTTATTCTTGTGTACTAAAATTTTAGAGTTTGAAAATCTACTTTCAAAATGCTCCTATTTTAACCAGAATTAATTTCCTGGGCTGAAATTCAGACTTAGTAAAAAAAAAATACTTCAATACAAGTATCCCCCATAAAATACTTCAATTTGCGACAAATCACCACACCTTGAAAATTCCTACTTTTTTGAGTAAAATCCATGTATCTACAGCCTGTCTCCAAAAAAATGGTACAATCAGAAAAAAAAATTGGTTAAATATGAAATTTCAAATTAAGTCATTCTTACTTGGCATAATATTAAAGAACAAAGACTGGGCTTTCCTATAGTGTTTGTTTGATCTTATTTGCTGTTGTCAATTCAGAGATATAATCAATTTAGTGCGATACACCAACATCGATTTTGTGCCACTTTTATGCATGGGCAGAGTTGTTTCGAATACTGTGCCATGCTGTCTTGAAGCTCACAAAAGATTGCAACTTGGCAAAAGAAACAAAACACAGATTAAAGTACACAAAGGAAGTCTGGTTTTCTCGATACAAGCTTTAATAGTCAACATAATAAGTTCAATGATAAATAGTTTCTTTATGAAGTTAATCCCTTCTTTGAATTTCAAATCTGTTCAAGTGTGAATAACGTTTTGTTTAACTAATTCTTTCACCGTTCTCACTCAACCAGAAAGTGGCACAAACTCGATTGTTGTGTTCCACAGTAAACTGGAGTTATCTCTGGGTTGACAAAAGCAAATGAGATGAAACAAAAAGTATTGGAAAGCCTGGTCTTTTTTCTTTAATGTGATGCTCAAAACGACTTACTTATGTTGAGATTTAATATTGAAAAAAAAAAATCGTTTTCGATTGTACCATTTTTTTTTAGACAGGCTGTATTTCGTGATAACCTTATGGAGACGTATTCACCTATAGAAATAGCCCTGTGGAGACGTATACAAACTTTTGTTTCCTATTATGCATGTCTCCGTAAGGTAGTGAATTACAAAACACTGTTTCTCTATGTGTGTCATCAGGTGTGATCATGGTAGTAGTCAGTATGTTCTACCTCCTGGGCTGGGAGATGGGTGCGGTAGAGGCGGTCTCCCTGTCCATCATTGTGGGATCTTCCATCGATTACTGCATACATCTCATTGAGGGGTACCTCGTAGCGGGAGACAGGGTTCCAGACATCACTCATAAGGTAAGACACAAAGATTTACATTTGATTTGATTTAATTCCAAACATCGTAATTATAACAATGACCAATTGAAATTAACGGAATATTGTTGATGTACCCTAACGTGGCGTACTTTGATTTTTCGCCGGTAGCGCCTAGCAAGGGCAACAGTTTTAACTGAAATTTCACAGAAAGTGAAATTTCATCAAGTTCTAAACACTCCCGCTCATAAATCACCAGTTTGTCTTCCCGTTACAAAGTTAAAATTTATTTTGATGTGATTTTCTGATTTTGTTTCGAAGTGCACAGTGAACCCTTTGAAAACGCCCCCCCAAAAAAAAAAAAAATAATTTTTCGACAAACTTCTAGTTGGGTATGTAAGTAGAGATAATAATAGTTTATCAGAATTTATCAACTTTACAGAAATTCTTAAATGTTAATTTGGAATTTTCCAAGATTTATTCAAGTGCGCGAAGTTAGGGAACACTCAGCCGATTTTGTGCCCAATTTCCAGACGCCACCGTTTTTGAATTTCGGATTAAATTTCATGACACCGAAATTGTTCACAGAGATTAAATAGCAAGCGTTGATAAGGCCAAAAAAAAAAAGTCTCCGGTTTCTGGTATGGAGCTTGCCCCAAAAGTGGTGCGGCGACGCGGCTTTTTTTTTTTTTTTTATCTTTTTTTTTTGGGGGGGGGGGCTTCAAATGTCGGCTGATGACTGCAAATGGTGCCCGACTAAACTTAGTGCAAATATATGGGAGTCCAGAGAGGCCACATAAAGCTTATTCTCGATCATAACCCCATCTAAAAACACGTTAAAATTGTGCAGCAGCAGGATTCCAGTCAAACCAGTGAGTTTGGCGGTTTTGAGACATCATCTTGTATTGAAAAAAATTTTTGTTTTCATTTTGCCGACGCGCATGGCTGCGGCGACGCGCGCGCATACCAGAAACCGGAGACTTTTTTTTTTTGGCCTAAGGTTAAAGTACCAGTATTTCACTGAATGAATTTGAAGTTTGTCAACAAAGAAGTTTGGAAACACTGCATGAGGAAAGTTGGGGTAAACGTCGAAGTGCGCCACGTTAGGGAACACCACTATATACAGCAAATCAGGGTACGCCATCGTGAAAATCAAAACGAGGCAAATAACGCTGTTCAAACATGACAGCCTACGGTACATAGTGTGCCACGGTGAACGAGTGGCTCTCGCAAAATAACAGCTGATTGACAGTCTTATAAATGGACGGATAGCTCAAATTCCCCTGAAACTTCAATCCGTATTTTTAATGGGTCATGTCTCATTGTATTTTGAAGAATGATCTTGGAATATAAAGCCTAAAACAATGGCTGAACTGAAGTTTCTGTGTAGTAGTTAATGCCGCAGCACAGCTGTCAACGTCAGACTTTCTATTTTCACTCATCCATCCGTGGCATTTTCTGAGCTGAAGTTTCATTTATTTGGAAGGAACTACAAGCCTATCTGTGAATTGTCAATCGCACAGGACCTGTCGTTTCCAAAAAATTGAATTGTAACTGGAGCCCAATACGAACATGAAAAAGTTCTTGTACTTTAGGAAATTTCTCAACGGTAGTGCACTGTACCCTGGCTTGTTTACCTGCAAAACGATATGGGCCTTTGAGACGCCCGTCTATTAGTAGTGCAGACGGGTGTCACGAAGGCCCGTATCGTTTTACACGTAAACGAGTCTGGGTACAGTAAGAAAAAAAACTTAAACTGAGTGAAATATAAAGCTGTATTGCCCAAACCCAATGTCAAGAATCTATTATACCACGCCTGAAATGTAACAACCACAGAAAATATTTTTAAAAAACCAGTAGAAAACTTCCCAAGATTTCAGAATTTTCTATCAAAGGACCCTTTTACGTTTACTGTACACACAAGACTCACAAAAGTGCTGTAATTAACATTCTGGGCATGCGCAATCCATACTTTTGTGTGTACTCAATTCGCAAATAGTCCCCCGTGAAAGGTTCCCAAGGCTAGGCCTAAATGCCCAACAGCTGTGGAAAACATCCCAAGGAGCGGCAAAGCTGGTAGCTAAGCACATTTGCTATGCACATCTGCTTAGCAAAAAGAGTTCATCATTAAAAAGTTAGCGGATTGATAAAGGGCCTCCCGATCTGACAGAACTTTTTTGTCCTAACAACGATTTTGTCCCGCTCTTTTTGTGTTCGCAAAAATCGCTAGTCGGCGGCAGAGATTCGTCGCTGGCGCACCCGGTACTCAGTCAGCACCATTGGCGTGTCGATACTGAGCAGCGCCCTCACGACCATCATCGCGTCGGTGCCGCTCTGCTACACTACCATCCAACTCTTCGCGAAATTCGGCAAGATCGTAGCGATGAACACCTTCGTCTCCATCTTGTACACGCTGACGGCCTGCACGGCGTTTCTGAGCCTCGCGGGTCCTGCTCGTTACCGCTGGAACGTCAAATGGTTCGTCTTCAGCGCGTTGGTGCTGTGCTGCCTGATAGGTTTGGTCGTTTTGATTCTTTACGTTCTCCATACGTCCGGCATGTCCATCCCAGGTCCATCTGGTAACCCTTTATTTTAAGTAAATCCCTTACTTCCTGTATCAACCACCTTAAACCACCTGAGAATCCATCAGCGAGTAAGTACATTGTAATAACATTGTAATACATTGTCAGTACATTGTAATACAATGTAATACAATGTAATACAATGTACTACAATGCAATACAGTGTACTACAATGTAATACAGATATAATAAAGATATTTTCAAGATAAATATCCACACAGAACGATTGACAGGTTGCAAATGGATCTGAAATGGTCAATTCAGGTTTGAATCACACTTTCATGTTATCTAAAGTTAGAGTAGATCGTTTGCAGCTATCCAAATACCCTCAACCAAAAAAAGAAAGCCCCCTTAATACTTTTTTGTCTAACTCAAAAACTACTGGGCACATCTTGCTCAAATTACGACTGATCAGTACAGAAATTCCTCAGCAAACCAGCCATACTCTTTGTTTGGCGCAAAACAGTGATCGTGTGTACAAAATTATGCAATTTATGACAAATGGTACCCCCAAAAAGTTGCACTTTTGTATACGTGCGAGTGTGAACCACAACTTGCACGTATACAAAAGTGCAACTTTGCGTGCATGCGGTTGCTATAAATCGCCTGTTCAGTGCGTGACATCGCGTAGATGCAATCGGCTGAATGAGAACGTGTCCCAAACGCTGATTTGGTGCAATTCAAAACATGACTCTGCAACTTTTGAATTGAAATCGAGATCCTAGAATATTGTTTTCTCGGAATATACAGCATTCACTGAGCTAAAACTTCATCAGGTTAGTTGTTAAGCACCTTCTTTAAATTTGAGCACTTTTGTTGATTCAAACGAAAACAAATGCACAAATGACAAATGATATACTCTACCTTTAACATTGTTTGTTGCTGCAATTTTTCTTGCTTCATGCGTAGACATCAATGGGGCTTATGTCCGGAATGCTCCATTTTATATGCAGGGTTTGTTTTATTGCCTCCACAATGAAAATTGGGAAGAATATATTTTTTACATCTATACAACTCTTTTGCCCCCCCCCCACCACCACCTGAAATACTGTCAAATTCTATTTGTAGTAACTTTTTATTTTCTGTTAACGTTTAGTTTCATTTATTTACATACAGTATATCCCCCCAAAAAAGTGTCTGTCTTACTATTTTTGAAATAACTACAAAACATGAAGTCAATTTTGAAAATGTTTGATTGTGCAGATACTCCTTATCCTTGGCCTTAACCCCGATGAGTTTCATTTAATTTCAGTCATGCATCACTACACAATTGTCGATTGATCATAACAACATTTTGGACACTGTGACGAAGTTCCTTGCCTTATTCAATTTCAGTGCTGTGATATGTAAGCTGTGTAAAATCTTGCATGTTGTGAAAAGGGCTGCGGTTGGGATTGGAATCATTTGCCTGGCTATCAGTCATCATGGCAAGACCTCAGTGTAATGCTCAACGGTAAATGATTCCAATCCCAAACCAAATCGGCCTTTTTTCACAACATGCAGGATTTTACACAGCTTACATAACACAGCACTGAAATTCATTAAGGCAAGGAACGTGGTCACAGTGTCCAAAAATGTTGTGCTCAATCGACCATTGTGCAGTGATGTGTGACTGAAATTAAATGAAACTCATAGGGGTTAGGCCAAGGATAAGTAGTATCTGCACGATCAAAAATTGTAAAATTGACGGACATTTTTTTGGGGACATACTGTAGTTATATTTCATAACAACTCACTGTGTGTCAGCTAAAATACATACTAACTAAGTTTGAACTGACCGTGTTTGAAATAATGTGTTTGTTAAATTGATAGTTCGTTGGGTACCATGCTGGTTCACTTGACTTGTATAACGGTATGCACATGTACATGTACATGTACATTGAGTCCGACGTGAGCAACCATTTGACACAGAACAGTAATTGCAATTCGGGCGATTCAAAATGCAGTGCACCTCCAAGAGTTTCTATGGAGAGTCCATTTTTCAAGTTTACTGTTGCAAAACATGGCCCATTTGAACGAGTGTCAGTAGACAACTTGAGCTAATTTGTTCCAATAGATTTGGGCATAGCGTTCTGCCGCCTTACAAAAAACTCCATATTGATTAAAAAAAAAAAAAAGGGCAAACAGATACTCCAATCATACGCTTACAAAACTACTGACCGGACAAGCTAACAATTTCAAATATCCCGCGCTGCGAATTTGTCGACGATCTCCCACAAAGCACTGGGAAAATGAGCTCTCTGTGGCAAACTCTTGGTGGCGCACTGCATTGTGAATCGCCCGAATTCGATATTAATTATTCAAATAATAACTGTAATTGAATTTGCTTCAAGACATGAGAGAAGCTCTCTCTCGTCTTCCAGAATTTGTTTTCAACTTTTCGTGTCTTCGGACACTTTAAACGAAATGTTCATCATGTGTTACACAGAGATATCTATTTTGTATTTTATTACACAGCAATTACTTGGCATAAAATATAGCAACTCAATTTACGTTTAGGACGTAAGTTATGTTGTGACTAAAAAAAAATGCATTATTTAAACGGCTTACAAAGTGTTTTGTAAGGAGGGTCATAGCAGAAATATTTAATTAATTGAGCATTGTATATTTTTCTGTTAAAGCGGCATTAATTGTATTTTTTTAAGGGTTATAGTTTAAGTGTGGCATTATGAGTAAAAATTTCATGTGGTTATATTTTTCACTTGCGGAATATTTATTCTAATATGTTTTGAGCAGAAAGCTATGCGTCTTGTATTTTTTAAATGCCTTTAAAAAACTTTTCTTCGCATGCAGGGTCCGAACCATTCAGGTAGGCCTATCATTTGCAAGTTCTGTAGTTGAATGGTCAAAAACAAGCAACAGTATATATGTTGTTATTTTTATATTCATAATTACTTTTAGTTTGTTACCCTTTTTTTTTTGGACGATACCCAACATGCTCTGTGCATATTACATGTACCAAACATGTTGGCTCCTAAACTGCACTGGTACCTTTACTTTTAAAATGTAAGCTTCATTACCATGGAGTGCGCGTGAACCAGCCAAAACTCTCGTCTGGCTCCCAGACTGCTTGCTGTCTAACTTGTATACTGCCCTCAAGCGGCCACGCACAGTCCAAATAAAACTGTGGCTGTAATTTAATTTTGGTCTATCCGTAACGCCTCTCCGATGTTCAGAGATAAGTCGCAAAATCCATCAAGTGATAGCAATCCTCTTTGTGGCTTTCGTAAGAAGTCTGACCCAGTAGTGACCTTGTGATCGCCACTGGGTCACTTTGACCAACCTCTGACTCACTTGGGACTGCAATTTTGCCTGTGGAGGCTTGCTAAACACCCCCCCCCCTTCCCACGTTACTTTTACCGACAGTTCCTTTGAGCTATCCCTTGCCAGATCAATGCCGCAAATATTAGTAATCAAAGTAATCCCTTTCAATTAAGTCGGGGAAGTTATGTAAATTGATGACGCATGCGGCACTCTCTGAGAAGACATCTGATAGTCTCAACCCGGCTCTTGAGACAGCTCTTCCAAAGATTGTTTCCTTTCTATCCACTTTCTCTTTCTTCCTAAGATGTTCTTTTCCTACTCGGGTTGTTTTGTAACTTCAGCACTAGGTCTGCGTTGCTTACGAAATTGTATCAGTGAAGGGAAAAACCCATATTGAATGTAAATCACCTGACCAAACCATTTCACCATTCAAAACTGTTTTTGATTGCAGTACCCACTCTTACATCAGATTCGAGCCAGATTCAAACCCCAGCAAGTTAAGGGGCAAGTAGTAAGACATCTGCGCTAGTAAGCAGGAGGTTGTGGGTTCGAGTCCCACCCGAGTGAACTTGGTGACTTTGTTTTGCAAGCCCTCGGACAGCACTGAGTACACAATGTTTATAAAACTTCATTAGTAAAGAACAACACACAATCTTGAACTTACATCACTTATTTCTTTCAAAACCTTATTGCTCTGGAGTTAGAGTTTTCCGGAGCACGTTTTTCATTTCTCTTCCAATTAAGAAGTAGCTGAAGCTTCAACCTCCTTAAGTTCTGTTTATTTTTTTGTCCTGAATGTTACTGTCGTGACTCTCTTCATTAATTAGCTGTTTCGGTGTACACACCAAACAGCTGTTTCTATCGTAAACGTTTTTTGTTTTCTTGTCTGTTTTCTCTTTTTTTTTTCTTTCTCAGACCTCTCTCTATAGGTTTTGTACACATTTCTTCTACCCATACACTTTTGCACTTCGCAAATTCGAACGACTTCAAACTTGGCACATATACAGCCTGTCTAAAAAAAATGGTACAATCAGAAAAAAAATTGGTTAAATATGAAATTTCAAAATAAGTCATTCTTACTTGGCATAATATTAAAGAACAAAGACTGGGCTTTCCAATAGTGTTTGTTTGATCTTATTTGCTTTTGTCAATTCAGAGATATAATCAATAGTGCGATACACCAAAATCATTTTTGTGCCACTTTTATGCATGGGCAGAGTTGTTTTGAGTACTGTGCCATGCTGTCTTGAAGCTCACAAAAGATTGCAACTTGGCAAAAGAAACAAACTCGATTTTTGTGTTCCGCAGTAGACTGGAGTTATCTCTGGATTGACAAAAGCAAATGAGATGAAACAAAAAGTATTGGAAAGCCTGGTCTTTTTTCTTTAATGTGATGCTCAAAATGACTTACTTATGTTGAGATTTAATATTGAAAAAAAAATCGTTTTCGATTGCACCATTTTTTTTAGACAGGCTGTATGGACAACGACCTTAAGATGTATGCCGAAGGTTTTAAGTTCATCACATTAAAGGCACATTTATTGGATATAGACTTTGTACATCATGGAAGCTCATTGTAATGTCATTACACGGAGGTGGAACAGATCTGACCACATGGTTCTCCAGAGGCCTAGTCAGGACTCCAGAGAGGTCTTAAGTTAATTCCCAAATAACATATTTTATGGATTGATCCAATTTCCTTTATTTTCTGTAACCACATTTTGTAGTTAGGGAGTTCTTTGCTTGTTCTTCAAGTCGCTTGTCTTTGTAGGTATTTGCTTAAAATACCTGGATCACCTGTTGCTTGTTTCCGTTGACTTGAATATGAACATACATGGATGTGTTACAGATGAAAATGTAAGAAGCTATAAAATCATAACCGAAGAAAGACTGCCTCGTGGTAGCTATAAGTTGGAATGATTTGAAGATTAATACAATCTATGTTCCAGACATAAACATCCGAAACAGCTTGACTTTTGTACTCAAACTCATTTCTAATTCACTTTCTTTTGTCTTAAAGCTACAGTCCATCATTTGCAGCTATTCAAATAGTA